CAACACCAACAACAGCAACAGCAACAGCAACAGCAACAGCAACAGCAACAGCAACAGCAACAACAACAGCAACAGCAACAGCAACAACGACATCAACAATAACAGCAACAACAACATCATCACCATCATCACCATCATCATCATCATCAACAACAGCAACAACAACAGCAGCAACAACAACAACAACAACAACAACAGCTACCACAACAACACACAATAGTATGACTTACGGGCGGCCCGCGGCCATTCGGCCCACGGCCACGCCCACGGACACCGCAACAGCAAACCTTTACCCCCCAATAACAACAGCAGCAACTCCTTCGCACGGCGTCGGTACCCCGCTCACAATCCCACATAACAGAGCACCAAACAAACTTGCGACAATTAGTTTGGATTGGCGTAGTGACCTCTTTTCCGTGTGAATGTGCTTGCTAGATTCACCTCGAACTGTTCACAGCCATGTCCCACAACACAACTCTCGATTAAGATGTTATGTGCTCATGTGCGACCCAGCACTACTTGTTATGTATACCTGCCACTAGTGCGAGCATTTGACCCGGCATCCTACATAGGCAAAGGTGAACAACACTCCGCAGGTCTGAACCGAAGTCTCCAGAAGCTGCCCCACAACCGGTGGATCGCACCTCAGCCGTCCTTATTATCCAACCCGCAACTGCTGCGGCGGCTGCGAGGGTGGCCGTTGTGGTTTCGAGTTTCTGTTTGACCTCGTCGTCGTGGTCGGTGGTTGCGGCGGTGGTGCTTTGCTGTCTTCAGGATGGTAGTTTCTGTTCATGTGACTGTGCTTTCTAGCAGAGTCAACAATCTAGATATCTGTTCTATTGCGGCTGCGGCACTTGCTGCCTTTCGCTGCCGCTACGATTTTTTTTTTCGCGGTGCTGCTGTCGGTGTTTGGGATACTCGTCATGGTGACTTCTTGTTTGCACTGTGGCTCTGGAGGATTCTACACTCTGAATACGAGTCCTTACAGTTCATCGGGGTTGTGGATGAGAGAAGACGCAAGCGAAGAGGAGCACGGACTCGGCTCCAGCCCTTAAACGGCTCAAAGACGCATTCACATGACGATTTGAGCATCAGTGTGTTTTGTGGGCCCGCAGTCGCTCAATGGTTGCGAGCAGGGCGCCAGATTGCCAAATAAAAACGGCAGGGACAAGAGTTGACTCACCGCCGGTCACTGCACATGCTTGGCTTCGCGGTCTGGATATATTAGGTCATAGCCCCTGGGCGCACCGCAGGCTGGCTTTCGCCGCGGCTGAATACTTTGGTCTGTGTCACACGGGTGTCAAGATCTCTCGGCTGGACCTCGCGATCCCTGAAGCGTTGAGGCCAGCGCTTCTGGCAATTGATGTTTCCTCGGCCGAGCGCTGAGCTTCGCAAGCGCAAGAGAGAGGCTTGGGGATATTCAGCCTTCGAGCTTTCAGTGCTCAGGTTTGGGTTTTGGATCCGTCTACAAACTGGCAGATCTACACCGACAGCTAAGGTGGGAGCCATGGACCTTGCGGAGAAGCGGAACGCTCATAAGATGTTTCGCTTCGAACGCGTAGTATGTGAGGAGCACTTTACGCCGGTGGCTTTCCGAAATGCGAGCAATTGCCAGGAAATTGAAGCTTTTCTGACACACTCGACTGTAGTTGACTGGAAGGATAGTGCACTGTCAGCAAGCACTGGCGCTCACGTTCCAGGGGTGACCCTGTCAGTCTATACTAGCCACCGAAATCCGACCCCAATGCCCCACGCTAGGCGCTCTAGTAAGAGTTTGTAACATAGAACATGCACGCGATGACTACTAGTAGTGTTACTCGTTGCCATGCTGTTTCATGCATCCAACAGTATCAACTCGGACAGCATCGAAGCTTCGCGATCGGCATGCATCCATTTCTTACTTGCCCTGTTCCCACTCTCCCGGCAAGACTCGTAGCACTGTTGCTGAAACATTTTTACGATTTTAATACAGCGATGATTAGGCCTCCAGTCAAAGGGGAACGGTACATATAGTCCTTAGCAAGGTCTCGGGTGTTTTTGTGTTTGCTAGTTCTACGATGCAAGCAAGATGCGGCGGCTGCTTTTGATTGCAGCCCGAATCAGTCTTACTTCTCCGTGCAGTAGTGTTGGCAGTAAGGTTGAGTGTTTTAGGACTACTCAGGGACCCAAAAAGCACATAAGCATAAGCTTTTTATAGGGATATCCCTACCTTACTGGGCTTCTTTATAAGGGGATTTATATGGGATATCCGGATCCTAATTTTTGCTTATGTGCTTTTTTGGGGCCCTAATTAAGGGCCTTCGGCGTGTTCTTAGGGTCCTTCCTAAAGCCTAAGCCCTAAGCCTTGACTCTGTT